GGTGTCTGCACCAGCCCCACAAGGAGCAAACCCCACGTTCAGGGCTTGGTCCTTCCTGAGCCAGCGGCCCCACCAGCACAAGGATGAGGGAAATGATGAATTTCCTCCAGCTTCTCACACCCTGCAGGACCAAGAGCCACCAGAGCTGCTCCTGGCCCCCAAGGAGCCTGTGCCCCAGCCCCTGGGGGTCCCCTTAGCCCCAGCTCCCTCTCCATCCCACCCAAAACTCCATGAAAGCTGCTCTGATTCCCACCGGGGTCAATCCCTCTGTCCCAAGCAGGGCAAGACCCAGACACCAGGACCTCAAGGGTTTTCCCAGTTGCCCCAGTCACCCACCCCCATTTCCCCTCCCCACCCTTCATCCTCACCCTCCCTGATTACCCCAGGGGTTTGAGGCTAATGCCCAACACCTGACCAGCTTATGTTCCTGATTCCATTATCAGCTTAAGGACCAAAGACATCTGCTCCCCTCCCAGGGAGCTGGAGGAGTCTTCAAGCCCTGAGCAAGACAGCAAAGGCTCAGTCCACAGCTTCTCCCCTCGGATGGATCTCTGAGCATCCCCAGCACTGAGAGGGGCAGCCCCTCGTCCCCACAGGTGAGTGGTTTCTCTCTCTCTCCAGGAACAAAAGGCATCGTGGGGTCCACCTGGTTGGGATGGCACCTTTTCTGGGGTTGGTAGCACAGCTGAGCTGTGGCTTTTGGCTCCTCAGACTCTGCCACGAGCTGTGGTGTCGGTGGGGACAGGAGCCCCTGGGGACAGGAGCCCCTGGGAGCAGCTGCAGAAAACCAGCAGGGGCTGGGACACCCCAGTTTGACACCTTCCCAAGCAGGGCCAAGGCACCTTGAAGCTGAACCACATGGACTTTTTTTAGTTGCAAAGGTGCAAACAGGCTTTGAAAGCCAAGGTGTAACAGGGGAACAGATCTCAGCAGCTCTGTGGGAATCTCACATAGGCCTTGGAAGGGCTTTTGTGAAACAAAAATAAAAGAGCTGGGCTTTTCCAACCCCCATGGCCCCCAAAATCCTTCTGTCCCAGCCAGGAGTGCCTCTGGTTGCAAACAGGTGAGTTCACAGCCATGAAGATGCCTGAATCCATGTTAACACTTACCTGGGGGTGGGGGAAAGCACAAGATAAAAATAGAAATATAGAAAAATAGAAATATATATTTAGCTCCTTAGAAAACCTGCAAAGATGCTCCTGCCCCAGGCACAGGACACCAGTCAGGAAGGTCTTGCTTGCAGACCAGGTTTTCCTCCAGCCCCAAGGCAGCAGATTTTCTCCAAGCTGAACTGTCCACCTCGTGTCTTGGGGAAACCACGTCTGTGACAGCAAAGGCCTCTTTAAAAACCAGGCTGGAGGCTCCTCCAGTGCCCTCAAACTGCATCGGTCCCTCGCTGTGCCTGCTGAGAACAAGCAAACAAAAACCTGGTCACAGCAGATGTTACATGAAGGGGTTTGAAAGGTGCCTCCTGCTGGGGGTTGGGTGTTTTTGTTTGGTTGGGTTTTTTTAAGTCTGAGCCTATTTCTGACCATGGGGGTAGCTGAGACTTCAGTGGTGTTGGCAATGGTGTTAGGGGAGAAGCAACAGCCCGGAGGTGCTTTAGGAGAAGCTACACATTAAAAACAAGGAGCTTCCCTGTGGTTTCAGGCCAAAATGGCTCAGGACATGACAGAGAAGGAGCTGCTGAAGATGGAGCTGGATCAGCTGAAGAAGGAGGTGAAGAACGAGAGGCAGATGGTGAGTTTTTCCACCCAAAATGCCAAGGGGAGGTTTTTCCCCATCTCACCTGATCCTGCTGCAAAAGGAAAGAACCACAACCCCTTGAAATGAAACCTCAAGCACAGGCAGAAGCAAATGCCCCCCGGGGGCTTAGCCCTGTATCCCAGAGCCCAGCAGGGTGCCCACAGCACCCCGGGGATGCCCTCGGGAACACCCCACACCAGGTGGGATGTTGATGGCCACGATTCCCACCTCTGGGGCTGGCAGGAACCCCAGGAGCACAGCTCTGCAGGGAGGATTCCACCCCATCACCCACACCCAGTGTCTCCTTCCTTGCCAGGTCTCCAAGACAGCCAAGGAGCTCAAGGACTACATCGAGTCCATGGCGGGAGAGGACCCGCTGCTGAAAGGAATCCCTGAGGACAAGAACCCCTTCAAGGAGAAGGGTGGCTGTACAATCAGCTGACACCCTGCTGCTGTCCCCACCGGGCACGGGGACACTCCTGAGTGCAAGCCAAGACTCTCAGAAACCTGCTTTCCCTGTAGTCTGACCTCGTCACTGGGGAGTCCAGACCCCAAGACCAAAGCCTAGAGCATTGAAAGGACACCAAGAGAGAGTAAAAAAAAAAACCAACAAGGCAATAAATGCACCCACTGCCCGTGGAGATGAGGCTCAGCAGCTTCTGTGCTTTCACAGCTCATTTCCATTTGGTTTCCTCCTGCAAACAAAACTTCTGCATTTAGTTTTTTGGGGTGTTTTTTTTTTAGCAGCCAGCAGCAAACTGGGCTGTGCTGAAAGCAGTGAGCTGTGGCTGCTCTCAGACTTCTCCCTGTGGCTGAGCCCTCCACTGCTGCAGAAAAAACCTCCCAGCAGGGCCTGCCTCAAGCTGGTGCCTCTTGGTGCCTCAGTTTCCCCATCTGGCACAGGAGGGCAATACCCACCCAGCTGCTCTTGAGGACTCTGAAGTTTTAAATCTCTTTACTTCCATGTCACCAACCATCCCCCCCACCACAAGCTGGTGACCACCTCTACCCACCACAGCTCCCACCCAGCAGGCATGGAGAGCCAGGGGATGGTCAGAGCAGGGCTGGGTGGGCTTCACCAGCACAGGAAGGAGCAAGACACCTCATTCAAACCTTCACCCTGCTGCAGCTCCTCTCCACTGCTGCAGGCCAGCAGGGAAGGGCAGCCAGGGGCTGCAGACACTTCCCACCACTGCCAGGGATGACTTGGAGAAAGCAGCTTAGGGGACAGCAGCTCCTTGGAGCATGAGAAGGCTCATCAAGCCCTAAGCCATGATCCTTCTTCTCCCAAGGGCAGCTTCTTCTTTTTTTCCTAGGGCAAATTTCATCCCCTGCTTGACAGGAAAAACAAAAAGCACATCAGCTGGGGAACAGGAGGGTGACCCTTTTCAGGGAAGATTTGTGGGGTTTGGGGGTCTTTTTTCAAATCCATGACAACCAAATATGACCTTTGGGAAAACTCTCCCAAACCTCTCCCCGAACAACAAACAAAAGCAGCACCATTTTTTTTTTTTCCTTACTTCTGGGAATCCCTCAGGTCTCAGCCCTGCCACAGGTTGTCCCCTTCATGCTATCCCACCTCCAACATCACAGCAGCCCTTGGACCCAGGGGGAACCTTCCCCAAAAAGCTCAGCCAGCTTCTGCTCCCAGGTTCTACCCATCCCAGGGCAGATGTGGACACCACAAAGACAACGGCTGCAAACTCAAGGCAAAGAACCAAACCTCTTCCACCTTCTGGGTTCTACCACGATGCCAGTGGCTGCTGCAGGGTGTGGAGATGGCCCTGGGAGGAATTTCAATGTGATTTTTTGCAGGGAAAATGCTTTCAGCTCCACTCTGAGCAGCGTTTTCCTGCCTCCCAGCCCATTCCCTGGGCTGGCTGATGGGGCTGGGCCTGCTCAGCACCACGTCCATGAGGCAGAAGGGGGGTCCTTTGGGGGGTCCCCCCTGGCACTTCAGCCCCAGATGCCCCCCCAGGGCAGGGATTCCCTGGCACAGAGGATGGATGGGCACAAGGAAGAGGCTTTTCCTTCAGGCTGGACGGCCCCACCGCTCCCCCAGCACCTGCACTCAAAAAAAAAAGAGACAAAAATGAAGGTGGTTTTGTCCTTTCTCGCAGATAATAAACCCGACAGCTCCACCCGAGGCCTCTTTTGTCTTTGTCGCAGCAACCAAGGGGCCCCAAGGAGAGCAGCTCCCCCTCCAAAAAAAAGCCCAGGATGCCCCTAATCCGGGGCCAAAACCGGACACGGCGGGGCTGCCTTGTGTCCCGAGGGGATTGACCCCGTTAAACGGCTGGAAACTTTGCGTCAGAACCACCCAGCAGGCATGGAGAGCCAGGGGATGGTCAGAGCAGGGCTGGGTGGGCTTCACCAGCACAGGAAGGAGCAAGACACCTCATTCAAACCTTCACCCTGCTGCAGCTCCTCTCCACTGCTGCAGGCCAGCAGGGAAGGGCAGCCAGGGGCTGCAGACACTTCCCACCACTGCCAGGGATGACTTGGAGAAAGCAGCTTAGGGGACAGCAGCTCCTTGGAGCATGAGAAGGCTCATCAAGCCCTAAGCCATGATCCTTCTTCTCCCAAGGGCAGCTTCTTCTTTTTTTCCTAGGGCAAATTTCATCCCCTGCTTGACAGGAAAAACAAAAAGCACATCAGCCGGGGCACAGGAGGGTGACCCTTTTTAGAGAAGATTTGTGGGGTTTGGGGGTCTTTTTTCAAATCCATGACAACCAAATATGACCTTTGGGAAAACTCTCCCAAACCTCTCCCCGAACAACAAACAAAAGCAGCACCATTTTTTTTTTTTCCTTACTTCTGGGAATCCCTCAGGTCTCAGCCCTGCCACAGGTTGTCCCCTTCATGCTATCCCACCTCCAACATCACAGCAGCCCTTGGACCCAGGGGGAACCTTCCCCAAAAAGCTCAGCCAGCTTCTGCTCCCAGGTTCTACCCATCCCAGGGCAGATGTGGACACCACAAAGACAACGGCTGCAAACTCAAGGCAAAGAACCAAACCTCTTCCACCTTCTGGGTTCTACCACGATGCCAGTGGCTGCTGCAGGGTGTGGAGATGGCCCTGGGAGGAATTTCAATGTGATTTTTTGCAGGGAAAATGCTTTCAGCTCCACTCTGAGCAGCGTTTTCCTGCCTCCCAGCCCATTCCCTGGGCTGGCTGATGGGGCTGGGCCTGCTCAGCACCACGTCCATGAGGCAGAAGGGGGGTCCTTTGGGGGGTCCCCCCTGGCACTTCAGCCCCAGATGCCCCCCCAGGGCAGGGATTCCCTGGCACAGAGGATGGATGGGCACAAGGAAGAGGCTTTTCCTTCAGGCTGGACGGCCCCACCGCTCCCCCAGCACCTGCACTCAAAAAAAAAAAGAGACAAAAATGAAGGTGGTTTTGTCCTTTCTCGCAGATAATAAACCCGACAGCTCCACCCGAGGCCTCTTTTGTCTTTGTCGCAGCAACCAAGGGGCCCCAAGGAGAGCAGCTCCCCCTCCAAAAAAAAGCCCAGGATGCCCCTAATCCGGGGCCAAAACCGGACACGGCGGGGCTGCCTTGTGTCCCGAGGGGATTGACCCCGTTAAACGGCTGGA